GTATCCCCGAGGCGCCGCGCAGCGTCCCCCTTCCGCAGCCGAGCCGAGGGCTGGGGGCGGCCGTGCTGGCGGTGCCGCTGGGGGGGGGCGCTCCCGGTGAAGTTACTGCTCGGCAGAAGTAACGTGGCCCTGCCGCAGCTCGGTTACCTCGGAGTGTGGGGCCAGAGGGTGACAGCAGCAGTTACGCGGTTTGCGGTGAGGGAGGCTTTTGCTTTCCTTAAGTCTTCAAATGGTGGGTGAGCGTAATGTGGCCTGGTCTAATGATCTTCCCATTCGAAGGCATAATGCATAGTGCAACTTCTGTATCTTAGAGGTATAAGGGCTCCATTTACTTAGGATTAAAACAAGGCTATTTCTGTCAGTTACATTCTTCCCCTTGCTCTTCCAAAGAGTAGTGTTTATAGTCTCGCATCAGTTGAAGCTCATCTAGCTTGTCACTGCTGTCAACTCTACCCTTTAAAGAGGTTCCAGTTGTCTCTTGCTCAGATGCCTGGTTTTCTTGTGTGACTTCATGGTTCAGGGATTTTTTCTGGCTAAAAAATAATTTTATTTTTGATGTGGTTAGACTTTGGCCAGTCCACTGTGCAATTATACAAGTGTCAGCATGAAGTAAAGGGGTGGGATTCGCAGAATCGTCTAGGTTGGAAAAGACCTTGAAGATATCCATTCCAACCATTAACCTAACACTGACAGTTCCCAACTACACCATATCCTTAAGCACTAAATCGACCCAACTCTTAAGCACCTCCAGGGATGGGGACTCCACCAGTTCCCTGGTTAGCCCATTCCAGCGCCTAACAACCCCTTCTGTATAGAAATGCTTCCTAATATCTAGTCTAAACTTTCCCTGGCGCAACTTGAGGCCATTCCCTCTTGTCCTGTCGCTTTCTACTTGGTTAAAGAGGCTCATCCCCAGCTCTCTGCAACGGCCTTTCAGGTAGCTATAGAGGGCGATGAGGTCTCCCCTCAGCCTCCTCTTCTCCAGACTAAACACCCCCAGTTCCCTCAGCCGCTCCCTGTACGACCTGTGCTCCAGACCTTAACCAGCTTCATTGCCCTTCTCTGGACACGCTCGAGTAATTCAATGTCCTTTTTGTAGTGAGGGGCCCAAAACTGAACACAGGAATTGAGGTGCGGCCTTGATTGAGATGTAGGAAGGTGGGAGCATAGCAATCCTTATATACACATGAAGCAAACATACAGAGTTATGCACTAGGTGTCTGTTCCTTCTCCTTTGTCCTCAATATTTTTGTCTCCTGATTGGCTTTGTTTATAACTTGGTAATCTTAACAAATATTCAGACTGTTACAAATTCCTCAGCAGTAGAAAAGATGTGCCATTAATAACACTCCATAGACAAAAGGTGGAATAGGCTCAAATCTTACTAAACATCAGAGGTCTCTCTGTGAGACTTGTTTTACCTTGAGTTTTGATCTTACTAGCATTTTGGTAATCTAAATATGAGTCTCAAAGCTATGTGAAGTCTGGTTTTGTTATTCTGCTTCTCCCCACAGTAATCGGTTTGTATTTGCTCAATATATGATACCATTGTCTTAATCTGTTGTGAATTTCGGTCACGCAAATTCTGACTACAGCATTCTAAATTAACTATTGTTTCAGTGTTCTGAGACTGTTGATAAGTGTTTTATCTCTGGTAGACTGTTGTGGTGTTTCTGACCTATCTAGATTAAGGACAGAATTATCAGAAGCACGCTAAATTCAAGGATGCAACTTGAGGTGGATGGTACCCGATTTTTCTGAGTGCAGTATTTAAGCATCTTTATAAAATCTAGTTCATCTTAACCATAGCTTCCGTGGCTGTCCATTGCACCTGGGAGTATTGAGATCATGTTTGCAGAAATACAGAGATGTGTTTAACTGAAGTCTTAGAAAATGAAGAAAACTCGCTGGATTTCTGTGAAATATTTCATTTAGTTTTAGTGATTTTTGCTATGAGCCCCCAGGAACTCTGTTAGTTGAGGCTGGGATAGGATTTAGGACTACTCAGTGCTTTCCGCCTCCCTTTACCATTCCATAACTCGTGGTTAACTACATTTCTGTTTCCGTAATAAGTGAGAGCTTTCATCAGGTAATGTCTGACTCAGTACGAGTCCTTCCTAATCCCACTGGTTTATGTGGTATATTTAATTAGTAACATACTTGGGGAAAGAAAACTAGTCTGTCAGCTTGTCTTTGGTGTTCAGCTGATGCATCAGATCTGGCTGTGTTTCTGTGCTCATAGCTTTGATTGTCATAGTATGCAGAAATGTTCTTAAAACTCTTGGTTTTATCTGCAATGAGATTGAGTTAATATGCAAATGATGACTTGAAGCTGGAAGACACATTGTCACTGCTGTCCCTGTGCTTTCCCTTGTGTTAGTTCCTTTTTTGTGTATGTTAGCACAAGCATCAGGCCAGCAAGATCTAGTGGTGGTTAATGCTAGCTGGCTCTCCTTTTATGACTTGGTTTAAACCCAAGCAAGTTCCTTGATATATTTTGGGTAGGGTTGCTTTGCTTCATTTACTTTGGTATGTAATTGTAGTTGCCACAGAGTTTTTTGGCCTTTTGTGTTTGTCTTAACTCTGGCTTTGAAAGAGTTTATTTGGTTTGGGGTTTTTGTTTTCATGGGAGTTTTTTGTTTGCTTGTTTTTAGTATTTCTTGATGTTTAATATCAACATCTTTCCATCTCTCTTTAAATTATTTTGGTGGTCCTTCTGTGTGTCCCATCCCAACGCCTCCTACCAGCCCCAAGTTTTTATGTTGCAGTTTGGTTCCATTAGTCTTTCATTCTTACATTTCACATTTTTCTTGTTTTCAGCTCTTTTCACCAAAGCATATACTACTATACTATTTGGGGATAGGTGACCAAGCAGTAGTAAAAAGATAAGCAGTCATTTGGTTGCTGGAGTATGTTGGTCATATAACAAGAGTTCATTGTTGCAATGATTGGATAAATGAGCCTATTTAGTAAGTCTTACTGTAATGTGTAATTCACTTCATAGTAAAAGCCTTATTTGAAATATATAAATCTAAAATATTTTCTTAGTCACACTTTTAAATTTTTTAATTTAATTTCAAAATTTACTGAAAACATTAAAATGTATATGTTGTGGTATTTTTTGTCAGTGGAATTAATGCAATGAAATTATTAACTTGACACAAGAAATGTGGTTGCATCTTAATTCAAGTTGCAGGTAAAATGCCTTCAGGAGCACAGATTAATCACAGAATATGGCGGTTTGTGATTTGTACTCAAGAGAGACAGATAGGTATTTTGTATTGTTTGATGGTATGTGTGTGTATATATATATATGGTATTACTCTGTATTGCTAACACTTCCAAGAAGCATCAGAAATGTTTAGAATTGCTTACAGGACTAAGTTGCAGTTTCTTTAAGATTATGAGAAAATAAATGGAATTCTTTTGTTGTGAGTTTTTGAAGGTGTGAAGACTGTAGCTGAATGAAGGAAGTTGTCCTCACGTGTAAGAATGACTACAGTAGAACTACTCCTCCCACCCCCCTTGTCTTTTAGACTATGTAATATGTGTTGACAGGTCTTCTAAACAAAATCTTTTTGAGCACAGACATTCTTTTGGTGATGAATGTAGTCAGTCTACAGCAAAGACATTTAAATTTGTCCACTGACTTGAGAGGGAAGGCAACTAGAACCCATTAGGAGAACGAAGTTATTGGTATAAAGCAGGTGGGTCTGCATTTCTTGAAACAGCTTTCCTTATTGTTGCAGTGACCAACCATTTTGATAAACCTTCATGGAAATGGGTCATGTATTCTAATCTCAGAATTTCCTGACTGTCCATGTAAGAGTGCTGCTCTGAAGAGGGAGTATTTCCTTTTGTTGTATGAGGGCAGCCATGTTCAGCACTGGGTGATGGAAGTTAAAAGCCCTGGGGATGAGGAGGATCTTGACCATCATCTTAGATGTTAAAAGTTTTAAGAGACTAGTGCTTGTTGCTGCGTTGCTTCTACATCATTGTAGAAACGTGTTCTAGATATTTTTTGGAAGTGAGGTGATTTCCTTTACTGTATTTTCCTGTTTGATTTATATTTATCCTCCATCTGTGAGTTGCTGTAGCTACAAACTTTGGAAATGCTTTCTGTCCAAAGTCCACTGCGCTACTGAAATTCTGATTTTGAAACTTATTTGAGGGAGTGTGGTAGAGGGAATGGAAATCTAAGTTTTGCTTTCAGTATCAACCAGTTGTAGAAACTCTCCTGACTTCTGATCATGCTGGCCTTCCTCTAGCCCAGATGGAGCTGCTTTTTCTTTGCTCTGTGCTTGTTCCACAGAATTTTTCCTCTTCTATAAGATTTGCTCTCTGCTGTAGATTTGAGTGATGTAGTTGCTGGTCAGGTAGGCTTGATTTACCTGCCTTCCTTCCCATTGGCCTAAGTGAAGCATGAGATTTGTGGCAAAGATTATGAATATACAGGTAAACTCTGTGCATTGTAGGGTTGCACAGGTAATGTACAACTTGTGTCACTTCCTCTAGTTAGGGACAGAAGGATGATTGCAAGGCAGCAGAGGCCCAGCTGTAAGTAGTGCATTTCTCAGGCCATACAGTAACCTGGCATACTGGCAGAGAGGGTTCTGTTCCCACCTGCTGCATTGCAGATGCACTTTTCCTGACTCTCGGTTAACTCTCTCCCAAAGTAGATGGAATACTAAATGATTGTCAGCAAAAATATTTCTGCCTGTGAGGCAGGTAAATAGTTCAACACAAGCAAATAATTCATGTTAGCCTTCAATGAGCTTCAGTGAGTGAACAGCACTGAAGTGTTTTGCTAAAAGCTGTGCCTAAATTAAGTTCATGAGTAGTCTTGTTTATTTCTATACAGCTAATTAAAACTGGGCAAGAACTGTTCTCGGAGCCTAAGCAGCATATTTCAGCTCATGTCCATTCAGCTAAACTCCTTTTTGCAGGGCAGCTATGCCCCAACTAGCTTTTTGGCTTCATTTATTACTATAAATGTAGCTATTGGCTTCATGGCAATTGATGGGTGTTTCCGAACACACCCTCAGTTTGGTGAAGTCTTTCCTAATCTAATGACAGCCAAATCCAAAACCTGCTGTATTGTTTGTTCTAGATTGGATGAGAGTACTGGCCAGAGGGAAAACTTTGACCTGTGGAATTCAATTTCTTTTCTACCTTTTGGTCTCTTAAGAAATCGGAATAGGGAGAAGAGAGCAGGATATGAAGTGAATTGTTTGCATAAGAGTAAAGAACCAGCCCACTGTTACACTCATACAGCCCTGATTGATTCCTGGAGCTCAGTCCATCCTGTTCACTGAACAGGGTAGAGATCCTGTGAAATGTGTTCATATAGTTAGTGTGGAATTTATGTTTTATTTCCTAATTTTAGTGGTTCATGGTATGACTCCTTCCATTAACTTGTTTCATCAAGAACAAATTCCACTCCTTCCCCTACCCTTCCCAAAACACCAGATCTAGCTGTAATACCATTCTGGAAACAAGAACTTTTTTTTTTCTTCTTGTTATGGTATGTTTAATTGGAAAAAATTTGGTAATGGAGATTTGCCACTCAGTGTTTCTGCACAGCATCTCATTGGGTGCTGATGTTTGATTTGATCTGAATACCATATATGCAGTTAGGATTTGTAAACTGATTTGTTTTGAGTGTATTAAAGGTTTCTTATTTATGAAAGTAAAAACATCAAAGCCAAATTAATATGTCTTGTCCCATGCTTGGGTGTAAATAGTAGAGTTCTCAGAAGTGCTTGTTACCGGCTTATAACCTTTCCTGTTGAAGCTGGATGCTGTAGGAAGAGTTGGGTACTAAGTTTCAGGAATTCTACCACCTAAACAACAGTAAGTAGCTTCCCTTCTAGTATGCCTTTAAACTTCAATGCCTGTGTTTTAAAAGTGGCTTCGCATTTAGATGCTAAAGTGAAACTGTTTTTAAATTAACCTCTGGTATAATTCAGATAATGCTAGATGTGATACAAGCACTGCAGTTGTCAGCTGGTACACAGAGCAGTGTCTAGTCTTAACTGTTTCTCTTTCTGTGTATGCTAATAGATTATGTATCTGTGAATGTTGAGGATGATGTTGAAGCGGTGATTATTGACCGTGGAGAAAACGGACTGTCTACACAAAGCTGCGTGTCAATGGAGCAAAACTCTGAAGTAGATGGTGTTGTTCACCATGTGGCTCAACTTGCCTACGGTAATTACTGTTCATTTTTATTGTGACCTAATAGTTAATGGCTAGTTTTAGTGCTGTATGTTCAGTGCTGCTGTCTTGAATGCTTTCTGTATTACCCATATCTTTAAAACATATTTTGTTAGAAAGCTACTTTATAGAAGTTGCTTGGCAATGCATTTTAAAAAAAGGGACCTTTTAGTTATTACTTTAGAGGTCTTTATTAATAGTGAACCCCCTGAAATACTATGTTGTAAAAAGACAGGTTTTCTACTTACTTATTAAGTAAGTATACCTAGGAATGAATTAGCAAGCAATTTGGAAAAGAAATGCCATGGAAGAACCTAACCCAAAAAATAAGGTTTTTAGATAAAACTGTCCAGTGTAATTTAGTGGATCTCTGGGGATACTGATGTGCAATGATAAGATGGTTGTTTAAGGTGATAAATTATTAGCTGTAAGTAGCCTTTGGTGCTTCACTTCATGGTATATATTTTAACATGCAAGATCAAAGTCTCTCAGAAATCTCACCCAATTCTCCTTTGACCCAGACAAAAATTAATCATAGCTGCTAGGAGCGTTTATTAAGTCCCGTGGCAGTATTACCAAGTTAGCAAGGAAGATGACTGTAACTAAGTGAAGGCACTTACTAGTTTCTTTTGGTGGGGTTTTTTTTTGGTTTTTTTTTTGGCCAGTTGACTTTATAGAGAATCTCATCAGTGTTTTTCTTGATTTTATATCTCTGTTTTCTAGTGTTGTTAGGTGCTTCTGAGAACCTTTAATCTTTAGGTCTTCTATAATACTTGTCAGTAGAGTATACTGTAATTTTTTGAACATTTATGTCTAAAAACATATTTAGGGAGGAGGATGGTTTGGGTGGTTTACTTGAGGTTTTGTCTCTGGTTTATAAAAAAAAAAAGGGGGGAAAAAAAAAAAAAGTCCTGCCCAAGAAACTGTCATAGTTTCTAACCTTGGTTTCAGGACATGAGTAATTATTTAATTATCACCAAAGGAATCATGATGAGTGGGTATGATTGTTTTTTAAAAAAGTAAAAAATGTTTTTGTCATCTTTGGGCTTACAAATTCTGTTGTTGTAGATTATTAGCATTAGGCATTGTCTAGTTAAAATTGAGTATAGTGAGATCTATGACCAAAACATGACTTAAGTTCAACAGTTATATTCAAGATAAACTTAACTCTTTGAACTGAAATTCTGTCTGATTGTTTTTATTGAATTGCCATCTTAAGCTAGTATCTTGTAGAGGAGTGCCTTTTCTTCAGATCTGGTTCTGTTTGTCCAAACTAGTTTCTTTTACCTTTGTCTCATATCTTCTTGCCGACAGATACTTATCTGGCAGAGGAGCTCAACATCCCCGAGATACAGATCTAGGTCTTTATTTCTCCCTGCCTGCTGCAGAACACTTCTATTATGCTTTTCACTTAGCCATTTATGCCCACAAAGTCGGTATCACTTTTGTTATCACTTTTTTTAGGTCATTGTATTTGTACCTAAATCTAAATTTGGAAAGCTAATCAGAAAGATGATTTATTTAACATAATACGTTTAAAATGTAATTAAACCAGGGACCTAATGTTTCTCCAGGTGAAGTGGCATTCAGGTTTGGCTGCAGAATGTATGTGAAGTTTGAGGGACTATATTGTGTCAGTGTGTTAATCTTCACCCCTTCTACTTTCAGCATGTTTTTTTCCCTGGATTGGTGTTGGTCCCACAGAGTGCTGCCATCTTCTAGGCTCTCAGTTCTGGGGATGCTTAGTGCTAGGAAATTAGTGCTGTCTTGGTCTATGAGGTGGGGAGAGAGGGATGAGGTGATCTGGGAAAGGAAGCAAACTCTGGAGCTGGGTGGTAGGGTAGGTGGGTTCTAATCTTCACCTAAGAGGACAAATATTAAATAATTTCATATGTATTTTTATTACTCAGTTATTGATTGTGCTTTCAAAATGATGTTAGCTACATTAATCTAAATCTACCACAAATCTTGCCTAGGTTGCATCTGTCAGGTCTGTTTCAACATTTGTCTGGGCTCTTAATGCAAAGAAAATTTTTTTCTAGTTTACGATACTGACTATATGACTACTTTTCTGTTCTGCTCCTAGCCCTTCCTCTTCTCACACATGAAAGCAAAGCAGTTGTCTTTGTTTTTCAGTATTTCTCTTAGCTTGTCCCTGTCCCATTGGATTAGTTTTCCTTTACTTCTGGGATATTAATTCTACTTTCCAGTTGGACCATGGAATTAGTTCCATTATTTTGCAAAAGTGGTAAGAAGTACCCTTGTAATTTTTCTCATGCAACCCTTTCTACTTGGGAGAAACTTAATGTAGGTATCCACAAAATTTCCCCTAAGCTCCAAAAAGCTCCTTCACAACAGGTAGTATGGTGGAGTCTTGGTGTTGCCTTTTTATGCCAACCAGGTTTTTTTCCTTACATCTTGGAAACCTTCCAAGGTCTTGTTTAGCTGCTTAATCTTTACTTGTCTTTTAATATCTTCTCTTATCTATATCTGTACCTTGTTATCTATATAGTGCTTGGCCTATCTGTAGCTAAAAATATAGAACTCAAGGGAAAACGGGGAAATAGTTACCTTTTCTTTTAAGTGTGTTTTTATTTCTTTTAAAAAGAGCTGTGTTATAATTAGACAAAGCCAATTTTTATAAAAATATATATTTTTATTTGGGTTCAATCAATTTAGGGTGGGAAGCAATAGGCAAAGCAGCGCTGGGCGCATGGAGAGCCGCAGCTCTGCCACACGCACCCCGACTTCCAAAAAGCAGCGGTTTTTATACTCTTGTGCCATTGTCTTTAACCAGTCTCCTCCCGTCAGAGAGTTGTCCTGCTCTTTTCCGTTGGGTCATTTGGGTTGCTGGGGTGCATGTCCTCCTCCTATTGGGTCTTTTGAAAGTATCAAGGCCTTGGTCTCTTGGCGTGCTTTTCTCCTATTGGATCTTTTAAAAGCCTTAGGATCTCATCTTTGGGGGGGGCTTTTCTTCAAACAGCAGTTACATGTCAGCTCTAGGTGGGGTTTCTGAGACACAGTTAGATTGTTCCAATCTGAATGGCCCACTTTACATTTAATTGTTTAACTTTTACAGATCATTCAAGTGTACCTACCCACCTTGCCCAGCCTAGCAAATTAGTTACAATAGTTTATTACAGCACCAGCATTGCTTAACTTAGCAAATTAGTTACCATAGTTTATTACAGCTGCAATAGCCCTTTCTTGAAAGTTTGAGGTAGAAACCTATAAATGATGGACAGGCATATTTGGCAGGAGAGATACATCTTTTCTCTTAACTGTGAAAATCCTTGGACATTCTTCAAAAGATAGGTCTGGCAATCCTGTAGGCTTCAAAAGAATTAGGATGGATAAACTATGGTAATGGCCTTTTAACTATGTGCCAAGCCCCCATGTGAAGAGGTGGAGACATTTTGTGTACCACTTGTTGATAGTTCATGTTGATAGTAGTTGCTGACCTATACTGACTCAACAGGGGAGGTATCTTGAGCAGATCTTTTTGTTGCATGGTGTTTCAGTGACAAAACTGGGAGTGACCCTGTAAGTATAGGGAAGGAACAGCTGAGGTCTAAACAAATTGGAACTGTTTTTTACGTTGAAATTCAGGCAACACACCCACAGCTAAGTGGTTTTGTTGGGGTTTTGAATGCTGTGACTTTGTACAATTGGGTTTGGAAATGAGAACAGAGAATTAATGGTGAAAAGCAAGGCAAATTAAATGGAGGCTGGAGAAGGTTTAGAAGAAAGAATATTAAATTGGATTTATAATTTCAGATCTAAGTAAATTGGATTGATGTTTAATAATATACTACTCAAAAAATTTCAAATAACCAAGCAGTTTGAAAGTAAAAATAATTAATAACTGTGCATGTTTTTTGTAGTGAAATATTTAATGCTGTGGGAAATCTACTGATATGCTTTACTTTTTCTCCACCTTTCCAGGAAGTGAAGGCTTGTCAATGCTAGCTGAAAAAGTGGGATCACAAATGAACCATTCAGCCAGTATGCAGAGAGGAAGTGGTCACAACCCTGAAAAACTGGATTTTGTGTTTTCGCATAATAAAAGAAAACGACTTGCCCCTACTCTAGTGGGACAGAATGTGGTATGTTTCACCAAACAGTAGCCCTTTGTTTTGAGGCCAGTTTCCATATTATTTGGAATGTCTTTTCTCCTTCACTTTTGTATGCTCATTTGATGACATCCCAGTGAAGAAGTGTGGGTAGGATTTCCATGTAGGGCACAGAAGCTTCTAGCAAGAGTAAAATTTTGTTATGCTGAATACTGTACATGTGCATAACAACAGCTAGTGTACAGCAGAGAGTAGTTTACACTAATTACCCATGTAGATACTTCTGTTTTTTCAGTAAAAATCTCTTTGTGCAATTTAGGATAATGAGAATTGAAACTTAATGTTGAATAAGGATTTGCCTCCATGAACAATTCTTTCCAAAGACAGACTACATGTATTTTTAACTTGAGGCAGTCTGAAGCTTAGTTCATGTCACCATATTTAATTCTATGGTATTCTAATGTGAAACGAAGAAATTAAGTCAGAATCCAATATAACGGTTAAGCAGATATTATTTATTAACAGCACTGTGGTCACCCTGGGGATTCTCCACCATAAGGGTTCCCAAGAACTAGCAAGGGACATCAGTTTACATACACACAAATTATACATATTCATTAGATTTCCTGGAGTGGGGTGTCTTATGATAATGAGTTCCTGGAATTCATGTACATAGTCCGAGCATGCATAGTGAAAATTGAGTGAAGGTCTTCAGCGGTCGAGGAAAGAAGTACGTGGTCTTCTTCATGGTGTCTGCTGTTTCCAGAGCATGCACTGTGAAGTAAATTCCAGGTGTCTTCCTAAATCAGCAAGATATCCTCCCTAGATTGTATCTCTGTGTCCGTTTGTTCAAGTTCCCCTTATTTTGGTCTGCCCAAGTGACCATTGAAGGCTTTGAGTCTGCTATCAGTGAGTTACATAGGGAGTGGTTTACTTTTGTCTAGACAAAGAGACCTAGGGAATACAGTTCAGGAGTGCTTGGGAAACAAACACAAGCAAAACTTTCATGCATCAGTTTAGTTTTAATCAAAAATTCATTGATTTGAGCCCTTTCAAATGTGTAGTGGACAGGAACTACTCTCATCCAGTCACGGAAAAGTACCAGAATTGTCCAGGTGGTGGCACTGTTGATTCCTGTTTAAAAGCAGTTTTCAAGCTGTAAGAGAATTTTGTCTTTTAGACGTTTTTACAGCTTCTGCATGTGGAGTTATACCCATTGAAATAAATACTCACTTTTTTTTCAAATTTACTTATCTAAATTAGTGTAAAAATCTACACGGAGTCTCATAATTACATAAGCTTGGCTGTGTAGTAGAGATATAGTTAAATGAGAAAGTTCTGGCTTTAGAATAACCAAATAAAAGTAGTATAAATTTGCAAAGGCTTATGTTAAACGAGAATAAGATACTCTTAGAACAGAAGTGAGGTAAGTGTTCATATACCTAACCACAGGCACATAAATGAGATGACTGTGTTAAGTCTCACTTTCTTGGACCCTTTCATAGCCAGGAAGGGAGTACAGCTACAACTGAAAGTGTCCAAGTTGGATTCCTAGCAGGTTCTCTCTGTAGTTTATATTTTGAATTCTTTCATTTTTCAAGACATTAAAAGTTATTGATGTTATTTCCTAGATGAGAACCAGGGAAGAAGAATATGAAGATAGTGACAGTGTAATTTATGAGTATGAACCAGACTATGAATGTGTAAGTTAATTTTTTTTTTTTTTACTAACTTTGAAAGGCTACTTTGGGGATCCATGTTTTGGGGAAGACAAATAACACATGAGGTTTGAAGTCAGGATTTATTGTCTTAATGTGATGTCCTAAGACTGTATATATTACTAAACTACACTCTTTTTTTATTATTTTAATGAAAAAGGGGAGTATTGTATCTGAAGCTTCCTACACTGAAGCTTCCTACATTGGAGATCAGCAGAAAACTCTTATGGAGGTCCTCAGTTATTGCCAGGTATTTTTTTTTTAATTTTATCTCTGAAATATTATTTAAACAATTTTAATTAAATTTCAGGAGGATTTTCATTCCATATTTGATAACCTATGACTTCATCCTTTATGGTTGTTCATTTGTCAGTTGTGTACTTAAATATTTTCAATGAATAAATAACCTACTACTTCATATTCTCTGAACTTCTCACACCATAGCTGGCAAGAATACTTTCAAATACTAAGCTTTAATACATAACGTAGTCTAGTGATTTATTGCTGGGGCTTCCCCAGCAACGCTACAGGCTTGGGGAGGAGTGGCTGGAGAGCTGCCAGTCAGAGAGGGACCTGGGGGTGTTGATTGACAGCCCGATGAACAGGAGCCAGCAGTGTGCCCAGGGGGCCAAGAAGGCCAATGGCATCCTGGCTTGTGTCAGCAACAGCGTGACCAGCAGGGACAGGGAAGGGATCTTACCCCTGTACTTGGCACTGGTGAGGCCACACCTCGACTGCTGTGTTCAGTTTTGGGCCTCTCACTACAAAAAGGACATTGAATTACTCAAGAGTGACCAGAGAAGGGCAATGAAGCTGTTGAAGGGTCTGGAGCACAGGTTGTAGGAGGAGCAGCTGAGGGAACTGGGGTTGTTTAGTCTGGAGAAGAGGAGGATGAGGGGAGACCTCATCACCCTCTACAACTGCCTGAAAGGAAGCTGCGGAGAGCTGCGTTTGAGCCTTTTTAACCTAGTAGTAAGCAATAGGACGAGAGATAATGGCCTCAAGTTGCGTCAGGGAAAGTTTAAACTGGATATTAGGAAGCATTTCTTTCCAGAACGGGTTGTTAGGTGTTGGAATGGGTTGCCCGGGGAACTGGTGGAGTCCCCATCCCTGGAGGTGTTTAAGAGTAGGGTCGATTTAGTGCTTAAGGATATGGTGTAGTTGGGAACTGTCAGTGCTAGGTGAATGGTTGGACTAGATGATCTTCTAGGTCCTTTCCAACCTAGGTGATTATGTGTTTCTGTAATTCTGTTCGATTCTGTGATTCTGTAATGAGAAAGATCTGAATGCCATACACACCCAGCTTTTGAAAGTACATGTCATGCCAAAAATGCACCGAAATCCTGGTCGTGCTGTTTTGGCTAGTTCTTTGCTTTTGACTTCTGATGCAGTAGCTGGCAAGATTGAAAATCACTGCACTGAAAATTAAAAGCATCCCATATTTATTCAGGTGAGCTTTTATGTGACTCTGGAGTCACAGTAATCTACAGAGTAAAAGACATTCGACATTCACACCATGCTTTAGGGAGGATAATTTGTGAGTGGTTTGTAGCCAAGTATTAATGTGTTGTAAGTATCCATGAGCACATATTCAGCAATGCTGTGGAAGAAAATTGACTAAGATTGTGTGACTAACATTCATGCTGCTAGTCTGGGAATATGTGCTGTAGCAAGTAATGCTAATGAGAGGCGATAGCCTCTTTTGTAGCTTACTAGCCCCTTTCCATCTCCTTCCCCCTACTGTTATCCCATTCTAACAGTAAATCTTCTCTAAGGCTACATGACGCCTTTTAATAATGCCTGTACTGTCCACACTGATTAAAAGTCTTCTAGACTTCCTTGAGATATTTAAAATTTGGGGAAGATTTATAGATTCTTTTGTCTAAGATAGTTTTGAAACATAACTGTTGGTTTTGATAAAATTGAAAATAATTTTAAATTTACTACAAATCTATGTAGCATTTTTTTATAGGCATATGTATTTTTTAAAATTTCTCTGTCTAGTTATGCTGTAGATCAACAAAAGATATTGCTTTAGTTGGTTGAAGACGCGTTTCCTCTTTGTAACTCGTAGTTACAATGTCCTTGTGTGTTTTTTGCAGTAATAACTGATGTGCCTGATATTTTCAAGTTGTCAGCATCCTTTCAATACTAGATTAATATTCAGTTATTTAATTCCCTTTAAACTGTTATGGCACAAAGCGTATGTCTAAATTGCTACGTAAGCATTATGTTTGAATTGCTAAATCCTGGAATCAACAAAGAAGGGATTTTCTCTATTGCAGAGTACCATATAGTAATAACTGATGGACTTTGAATGCTTTGATTTATCTGGCTTTTATTTCTGAAAATTTGTGCCTTTACAGTAATATTTTTCAAAAAAGCTCGCACCTGATTGCTTTAGTAAGGCAACTTGAACTTTTAGCATCTGAAAGAAAACTTGGTCTTGGGGATTGACTGAAGATCAGACGTTTTCAATAAAATAAGTGGGTTTTCTCAAATTCTTTATTACTCATTCTGTGATTATTAAAAATGTGGATACAATTGATTTCAATGCCATGTTTGTTCTGAAAGTCATGTCTGAATTGATTTCTATATACATCATTTACATCCCATTTCATGGAGTCACAGGATGGTTGAGGTTGGAAGGGACTTCTGGAGGTCATCTTGCCCAGACCTCTTATTCCAGCAGGGCCTGCTAGAGCCAGTTGCCCAGGACCATGACCTGATGGCTTTTGAATATCTCCAAGAAGGAAGTCTCCACAATATCCTTGGGCAGCCTGTGCCAGGGCTCAGTCACTCTCACAGTGGAAAAAGTGTTTCCTGACACTCAGATGGAATATCCTGTGTTTCTGTTTGTGCCCATTGCCTCTGGTCCTGCCACTGGGCACCTCTGAAAAGAGCCTGGCTCCATACTCTTTGCCACCCTTCAGGTATTTGTATGAATTGATGAGATTCGCCCCGGAGCTTTCTCTTCTCCAGGCTGAACAGTCTGAGCTCCTTCAGCCTTTCATCTCAGGAGAGATGCTTCAGTCCCTTCATCATCTTCGTAGCCCTTTGCTGGACTGACTCTGGTATGTCTGTCCCTCTGTGCTGGGGTGTCCACAGCTGGATCCAGCACTCCAGGTGTGGCCTTACAAATGCCAAGAAGTGGGGAAGGATCACCTCCCTTGACCTGCTGGCAACACTCCTGCTTCTGCAGCCCAAGGTACCATTAGCCACCTTTGCGGTAAGGGCACATTGCCAGCTCACATTCAACTTGGTAATCACCAGGAGATCTCAGGTCTTTTCTGCCAAGCTGCTTTCCATTGGGTGGCCCCCAGCATGTACTGGTGCCTGGGATTGTTACCCTCAAGTGCAGGACTTTGCACTTCCCCTTGTTGAACTTCATGAAATGCCTGTTGGCCTGTTTCTTCTGACTGTTGGCATCCATCTGGATGGCAGCACAACCCTCTGGTGTATGAGCTGCTCTTGCCAGTCTGGTGTCATCTGTAGACTTGCTGTGGGTACATTCTGCCCATCATACAGATCATTACTAAAAATGTTAAACAGGATCAGACCCAGTATTGACCCTGGGGTACTCTGCTAGTCATTGGCCTCCAACTAGACTTTGTGCTGCTGATCATCACTCTCTAGTCCCAGCCATTTGTCCAGTTTCAAATTCACTTCACTGTCTACTCATCTAGCCTCATCCAGACAGTGGTGAAAACCCTCCTCAAATCCAGGTAGGCAATATCCACTGCTCTACTCTCATCTGCCAGGCCAGTCATTTCATCATGGAAGTTAATCAAGTTGGTTAGCTGGGATTTCCACTTAGTGAAGCCATGCTGTGCCTGTTCCTGGTGGTATTCTTGTCATTTGTCTGCCTGGAAACAGTTCCATCACCTTCCCAGGGATGGGGGTGTAGCTGACTGGCCTGTAGTTCCCTGGGTCTTCCTCCTTGCCCTTCTTCAAGGTAGGAGTGACATCTACTTTCATCCAGTCTTTGGGCACTTCTCCCATTTGCCATGATCGATGAAATGTTATCAAGAGTGGCCTTGCAATGGCATCAGCCAGCTCCCTCAACTCTTGTGGGTACACTTTCGATTTACATAGAACTGGTTTGCTTAAGTATTCCCTGACCAGATCCTTTTCCCAGTGTGTCTTCCTCGCTTCAGCCTTTCCCCCTGGGATCTGGGATTCCTGAGGGCTGGCCTTGCTAGGAAAGTCTGAAGCAAAGCACTTGAAAAGTACCTCGGGACTTTTTCCAAGTCCTGTGTCACCAGGTCCCCCGTCTTGTTCAGCAGCAGGCCTACACTTTCCCAAGACTTCCTTTTGTCACCTCTGCACTTACAGAAGCCCTTCTTGTTGTCTTTGACATCCGTTACCACATTCAATTCCACTTAGGACTTTTACCTTACAGATAGTATTGTTCCAAATATATTTCCCTTTGGTGATAGAGAAATCAGTATTTTGGTGTTCTGCCTATAAGTCTTTTACTTGTCTACTTGGAAACTTATTATGACTTGAAATAGCATATCATAATACCTAACTTGCTTTAGAGCTTGTTATTAGCTTTTCAGTGTAAAATAAAACATACCAAACAGGTAAAAATAAGATACCTGCTGGGAGCAGAAAGAACAGCCTTTAAGTGTCAGCCACATGAAAGTCACAAGAATATGCTTCTCTGAGAATTCTTTTTATTGTGATATTTACTATTGTAATTTGCATTTTGTATATAAGTTGACCTTTATGCTTACAGAGTGTATATATTATCTACAGATCTTGCCCAGTTTTAGGGCAGGAAGTTTGCCTTAATTGAAGTTTCTTGATTTCTTCAGATTGAAACTGGTTTCTTGTGAAACAATACTTTTTTCACTCTTATATTTGTTGTCAGGCCATGTATGATGCCATTCAGAAATTGGATAAAAAATTTGACCTGCTTCATCGGAAGGTCTCAGAAATGCAGCATACTCGTGTAAAGCCACTGTTGCTCAAACCTGTGAGTATTAAAGACACAAGACATTTATTTTTTCCTTAATTCTTTCACTTCATCTGGTGCTTATTTTTTAAAAAAATCCTCTGCTTTCACTAAGAGTAAAATTAGGAACAAAGTAGTAGTCTTAAAATCCATTTCAGTTAAATTATTCTGTTTCTTTCTATATGCCAGATTTAGTCTCCTGTGTTATTACTGACCAATGGTCACAGAATGACAGTGGCTCCCATCAAGTTCAGGATGGTGTGATAGATGCTGTAAAACTCAATTTCTGTTCATTCCAATACAAATAAATTGTGTAGGTTATGTCTTAAACATGGGTATATTGGTGTTGCTGCTTTATGAGATATGGTGTGCTGTTTCATTGGTTTCTGCAGTTACAAGAGAGTTTATGCATCACTCAGGCTGGTTCAACTAACTGATTTTTATATCTTAAGAGAACTGATTTTTAGATCTCAACAGTGTGTTGTCATATCCATTACAGTATAGAATTGGTTTTGTTTTTTTAATAAAACACCTCTTTTCAAAATTTTTAAGAAGGCTTGATACTGAGTAGACACTATCCATTTTGTTCCTATATGGTCAATCCACTGTTAACTGAGGAGTCAAAATATTCGTACTTGAAACAATGCTCTTTAAAAGGAAAATGTAACAGATCATGTTTGAAGAAGATCATAAAATCCTTAATGACCTTTCTTTGTCAACAATACTCAAAGCTTTTAATGTGGCAGAGGTGATCCTGCTGTCAGGAGATGTCAAGACACGTCAGTAAGGCCATTTGCTTTAAGGGTTCGTAAAAATTATTACATTCTCATGCATATCAGTTATCAATAGGATACTAGGTTTTACTTGGGAATGCATTTTTGTTTGCAACTCCAAGCTTGTACTGCCCACACATCCAAAAATACTAGATTCAGGAAACAAACTGATCTTGTCAGCTATGCTTGGACCCTGTGATCTCTGCTCTTACACTCCCCTCTGATCATGTGAGATGGCAGCTGCTTTAATGTTCAGATTAAGTGTGACCTGCACTGCTTTTTTTTTTTTTTTTTTTTTTTTTTTTTTAAGAAGAAGAAGATGGCTTTTATCACTATGAAGTGCAAGGGGAAGGCCAACAAGTGCAACCTGCCAACCACTTTGTTTAATTCTGCTAGCACTTTATCTTTAAAACCATCAGGAGTGCTGTAGATTTTTTTTTTTTTTATTGTTGTATCTGAGATGGGCTAAGGATATAAATAAGGAAAGGCTGGGGTAAAGGTACTTTTTTTTTTATTTTATTAGATCAACTCTAATAGCTGGAGAAATGGATAACCTTTCAGACACATAAGCCTTTCTTCAGGTCATAGATTTTTTTAAAGGTTACAAGGGTGGAATATAATCAGATTTCTGTAAACAAACAAAAAAACACCACGAAAAGAAAAACAAGCGAACAAAAAAAACAAACCCAGGGCAGCTACCATTTGGTAGCTGCTGCTCAGTGACTTGTATTTTGTACAAGAATGCCTGCTTTAGGATGCATATGTTTTTTAATAAAAGTACTCCAAGTGGTGTAAAGCATAGCTTGTCCCTGTTTGTCTTAGTTTCTTTGGAATCTTTCATTGTAGATGAGATCTGAATGTTTAATATTTTCAGCTAGCAAGTAAAGAATGAAGAAACAGCCTGCTGAGAAAGTGAATTGTTTGGTTTTTGTTTAAAAGGAAGCTGACATGGCAGTGGAGACATTCCTTGAGAATTCAGCAGTCTAGGTCAATGGCTGACAAATTTTAAATTTTATTTTGCCTATTATTTTTTATAGAGCTTTTTTTAAGAGCCTTTACAAAGCTGCTTTTCTCATTATATATTTCTCTGGCTTTTTAGAAAGCAGTTGTGCCAGCACCCCAGGTGGAGAAAACTTGAGAAATGTTGAAGCTGACCAGATAAACTCTTAGTTGAAACTACAAGGAAAAATAAAATAGAAGGAATGCTAAAAAGTAATAGCACTGGCTTCATGACAATGACTACTTCAATGAAGAGTCTGTTGCCAATAGTGTAATTATTAAAATCTAGTCTTTCTGGTTTGCAGAAGAAGAAAATGATCAGATACATTTAATTTAACTTTTGTTTTCTGAATCACATTTGTAGAAACCAGTTGGATTTACATACAGAAGTTCCAGTCATTTTCCCCAAGGAAAACTAAGAGTACAAAAATCCATGGAAAGGAAATCAAGTCTTCATCTCTCTTCACCGGGCCAGGGAACGCATAGCCCTGTCATAAGGGTTGCTTTACAAAATGGCCACGTTCAGGTCAATTCCACGTCAAAACATGTTCAACAGAGTCTTCAGCTTGAATCGCAGCAGCCTGTTCATAGGCAGAGCCCACCACTCCCCACTATAGTTTCTACACATTCGTTGCATTCATCATACACAGCAGCTAACAGGATGCCTGATCTTTCTCCACGATCAAATCTTGTAGCCAGCATTGTGGAAAGTACTGTCAACGCTGCATCTTCACCAGTGGCATCATCAATGATGCCAGCACCATCTGAGACCAATCTGGGAAATAATGCCATGGTGGTGAACTACAGAAATGCACCTGGGAGTGTGAATATTAATAAAGAACTGCCATCTTCTTCAGTCTCCATCAATCCTAGCTTTGGTGAGTTTCTTTGTAATAAATACTCAGAAACAAAGGCTAAAAAAACTGCTGCTGGTATAAAAAATATATCTAAAGAAATCTTTATTTTAGCAAAAGTAAAGGAGCAGAACTGGCTGCCTTACAATCATTTATGTAGTGGAATACTGTTTAAAACTCTTGAAACAAAGGTCATAGGAATGTTAAATGTGCCAGGGATCACTAAAAAACCTCTGCAGAGTGTATGCGGATGTATAGACTACTACAAGCCTTTGATTACAGTACATGCTTTGAGTTCTTTTAAGACTAGGCCCTGTTTGTCTCTTGATATACTTCATGTAACCTATTTTTAACCTGTGTGTATGTCATAAGTAATGTATGCATGCTATGCATATGTTTAAGAAGACAAAAGAGACTGTCAGTAAAGCTAAGTGAAGCATATACCTGTATACATATTTTGCATTTAAGAAAGCAACTTACCTGATTTGTGTGAAGGGAAATACCTGTTTTCTTCTTGTGGAGGATTTTATCAGTGAAAAATCCTTTCTATCCTCAAATCCTCCAGTGTCTGGTGTCTTTCAAAATACTTAATTCCACAGAAAATGAATTCAATAGATCATTGCTTTATAATAAACAAGTACATATAAAAGAGCACTGTGTTTTAAAAACTAATGCATTTCTTTCTAAAGTATAAAAGCCCTGAGTTCTGTGGAAGGCTGAGCTATGAGGTTTTTAGTTGCTTTTGTTCTAAAAGGTAAGTTCATACAGCTGAAGACCTCCATGAATACTAGGTGAAATACTCAAGATATCTATCTGAAAATTTGTAAACAGTGTATGATTTAGCAGTACTGTGTATGGATATGCCATTCTTCATGGATCATTGTCTTGAAAACATACATGGTACCTGCACAGGTGTAAAATAGGTTAGTCTAAACATTTTGGACTCTTATGTGTCTAATATATTTTCTTGGGTGTTGTTATTTCAGTTAGTTACGTTGGTGGTTAATGTGAATCAAAAGATATTTCTGTTACCATTCCAATTTAAAGCTGCTTTTGTAAGAGCAAAGATAAGTAATACATAGTAGAATTAGCTGTAGTAGAGAACATATACCAAGAGTACTATAGAGCTCAAGAGGAGAAGTTTAAAAAAGTGTTCTTTTTTTAACAACTTTTGTGGGGTTTTAATATTTTTTTTCTTTAAATGTTTTTGTTTTATGAAAGAGTTTGTTGGTGACCCAGTAAGAAATGTAAAAGTTCTTGGAAACTATTTGATGAAAGCTCGGCAAAAGACTAAACCAAAGTATGCAGCGCGCTACTTAGTTCGTGTCTTGTTCCCCAAGGAAACGTTATTGTGCAGCATTATGGGAGTGGGTGCACGAGGGCGCAGAACATTGGATCCCAACAAAATCGCTGCAATAAGAGGTATGCTACCTTTCAAAGTGCACACATTTATTTCTTTAATACTTAACAGAGTTTCTAACTTACAAGGAGTCCTTTTCTGTATATTTCTACTAATCATTGTCTAGCTACTGGTGAACTAATAAATGCAGCAGTGGATATGCTCCACTTTGCTGTGTCTTTTGGTTTTGAAATTCCTGCTTTGTAATTCTCAATGTTCATTTTTCTTCAGTGTGGATAAAACAATTCTGATTTCACCTAGTTTTGTGTATTTCATGTTAATCAGTCATGCTGACTGTTTCTAAATTTTTCATTAAAACTTATTTTGTGTTTGTGTGTGGCCTGGGTTTTTGTGGGTTTTTTTTTTGTTTGTTTGGTCCATTTTTTGTTTGGTTTGGGTCTTTGAATGACCATGATATGCTTGGGACAAATATTAACTGGTGATTAAGTACTCTTTCTTTATTTACATAAATCCCGTGACATGTATGTGTGAACCTATACATCTCCTCCTTCCTTTTTAAAAGGTGGGAGATTATTTAAGCCATGCGAAGTAGTTGTAGCGTCAGCATTACCCTGTCTCTGTGATTTGTGGGGTTATTTTGGGTTTTGTTAAAGTTGGTATGACAAATCACACCTTTCCCCTAATTCTACCAAGAAATGTTTAATAATAAAAGCATTATTCACACCTCTAAGTGTGAACATTACTGCACATCTCAAATTGATAGTGCTGCTTAGCTTCAAAACATGAGCTTGCTATCTCTTTAATTGAAGCTGGAAATCTCAAGCTTCCAAATGAAGAGCATGAAACCTTGAAGCATTTCTTAGCTTTCTCTTTTTCTTTCTACATTAGAATACTTCTAAATACCATTTTTGTCATGAAGCTTAAAAAGTTTTCTATGTTTTATATGCAGAATTTCTTGCAACTAACTTTCCAAACTATGATTTGAGCGAGCATGGAAAAGACTGGAAAACCTGTATCACAAATGTCAATGCTATGATCCGCTGTTTACGCTCTGAAACAAAAATAAACCCAGTAAGTTGTCTCAAGGTGATAATCTATTGAGAACTAAGTTTATGCTTCTTTTGCAAATGTATGATGAGGAGTTCACATAGAGTGCTCTAATTCGAAATTCCTTGGGTTCTGTCTTTGCATTGCTCAGCATAGGCCTGCTGACTGCAGCACTAGTTCCATATGGGGAATACTGTAAGCGTACCCCTTTCTCTTGCTCTACCTCTTCCTGCTAATATGTCCAGCATTCAGTTAAGAGATCTGTAAGCATAGACTGCTAAAAGGAAAGCATTCTAAAGGTTCCCAGAAGTAGCGTCAAATTTGACTGCAAGCTGAGCCATGTAACTGCTAGCACTGTTTTCACAAGCTTTTCTGCGTATACATCCAGCCATGCATTTCAACTTTATATTAACTGAAACATCACTCCCAAAACACCTGTAACTCCATTTATTTCTGCTTCTAGAAAGCTCTGTGCAAATCTGTGAATATTTAGTATCTGTTTCACCTATGGTTTTCATGATTGAAATTCAGGAGTAACTATATTGTAAATACTTGTAATCTAATTTATACTGAATGGGAAGTGAACTGGAATGTTAATTAGAAAACTAGTAGTCTCTCCTAGTGCATGTGCTAACCTCATTTAATGTTTCAGGAGACAGCTGAAGGGAAGGAGAAACTGGCTGATACTCCAGATACATCTCATTGTGTAGATTTAAATTATAACGAAGATAGTGAAGGCAATTCTCAAAACTGTCAGAAAATGACCAACTCCACAACTGACACATTGCAGAATTTGGGATTGGATAAGTTTCCAGAAGCTTTCCACACAGCTTTGGTCAAGAAATCACAGTCTTTGGAACCTATGGGTAACCTAAGAAATTTTCATCTTCTGGATCTTTGTGTTACATTTTAAATGGTCAGTGAGAGGCAGAAGATGCTACTATAGGTGAAATTGTGTAGTAAAGGGATTTGCTGAACTATGTGACTCTTCTTTTCCTCTTAAGGCGGTCTTGCTGTATACATAGTAAGTCTTCATGACAGTAAACAAAAACATTACCTGGCTAATAGAACATGGATTTGCATGTACCAGTGTCCCATAATGCATATCCACTGTAAGATACTCTTTTCAGTTTCTCTGAGTAATTATTCTGCAAGAATTATTTCACAGTTGCCCTTTGTATTCTTACTTGGTAGATATTCTACCTTAATGGAGTAAGCTAACTCAAAATATCTATTGAATGGTACTGCAATTTCAGAAGAAATGCACAATGAAGAACTGTAAAACTGACAATTTAGGACAATAAAAACCCTAAAGCAGCCTTTATTATTTTTTTTTAAATAAAAATGCACAATATACAAATGCATTGGAAAAAAATCCATGTACAGTATGTGATGCCTCTAGAGAGCTTCAAGGAAAATGAGCTGAGATAGTTCCCCTTGGAAATAATTTATGTGATTAGAATCACTTTTGGGCTCTATCAGATCTGCTCCTGCACCCAGGATTTGTTAGTCTAATCCCACAGACCTCCTGATTTACTATGCATTTTGCAGTGGAGTCAGGTTGAAATAATTTAAAAAAATACTCCTGTGTGTTCTTCAGTTTCTACTTACAGGTTCTAAGCACCATTAAAATAACAAAACTTTTATTTACTTATGTAATTGGATTGTAATTATGTAATCTTTTCACGTGAGATGAAAACAATTTAGAAAGCAGCCATTAATAATGCAGCTTACACTACTAGCATTGCTGAGAGCCTACCAGAAGTGCTGTTACACTGTTGTAAAACAGGCAGGGTTTTTTGGCTACTTAGACATTTGTTTGCAATACGTTGCATTTTTAGTATTAGCTGTAGCATTACGTCTTTCCAAGCAAGTACAGTAGTTTCGGGGAGAAATTTTTTGTGTCCTAGTTTTAGTGTAATACAGACATTTTAAAGCATAGCCTGTATTGGATAAGTAAAATCTCCCCCCCTTGCCCTCTCCCTTCTAGAACTTCTTGGAAGTCCGTGGCGCAACGTCCAGTTGCCTTTCTCAGTCATTTATGTAGCTAAGGGGAAGTCTCGGCCAGAGTTGTCAGCTCGCTACCTAATTCGTCATATGTTCACTGAAGATGTGCTGGTAAAAAGCAATGTATATGGTAATCTTGAACGTGGCATGAGCCCACTGGACTGCAACAGAATTAATGCTCTTAGAGGTAGGTAAAAAAATCTCTGTTTAAATGATGTGGGGAAATTAACAAGAGTGATTAACTTTGTATCCTATGAACAATCCACGGAGCTTCAGAAATAAGTGTGAAACTGTAGTGACAGGTATTAGTGCAGTGGAACAAGTTGAGAGAAAGTAGATAAAGTTATATAAAAGTCTCCAGATCACAAACCTGGTTCATATGAGGAAACTCAGTCTCCGTGGCACCTGCTTGAAAGGGCAATACAGTGGGAGATGGAAGCAGACCAGGATTCTGGAGGGTGTTAGGGATGATTTCTTGATAAAGGAGCTAACTAGTCCAACCAGAGGTAATGCATAGCAGGTTATGGCGTTCTTCACAAACAGGGTTGGACTGGACTGTGGTCCTTGATGGCAGTATTGCCTGTAGAGACCAGGTATTGTAATATTGTCAGGACCTCAAGATCCTGAGTAGAGTTTAAAAGGTTTGAGAGTACAAACCCTGTAGCTTAGGAGGGCAGGCAATGTCTCATTCAGGAAATTCATAGGTGGGAGCATATGGGAGACAGCTCTGAAGAGGAGAGAAGCTCAGGAAAGTGTGTAGGTCTTTAAGGACAGCATCCTGCAAGCACAGGAGTGTCTGTACTGACACTTAGGAGAACCTGTTGAGTTATAGGGAAACAGGTTTAACTAAGCAGTGAATCCATAATTGAGCTCCAGTGCAAAAAAGTGGTATGTAGAGATTGGAAGCAAGGACAACTTATGAAGAAGAATTTAGCAACTTTACCTGGGAGTGTTGGAATGGTGTCAGGAAAGTCAAAGCTCATCTGGAATTGAGACTTGTAAGGAATGTGAAGGACAGCAAGAAGAGCTTCTACCACAACATTAATTGTAAAAGATTGAGCAAGGAGAGTGTGGGCCTGTTGCTGAATGAGACAGGTAGCCTAAAGATTAGGCTGATGTGCTCAGTGCGCCTCCTCTACGTCTGTCTTCACCATGAAGGTGTCTCAGGCCTCTGGGTAGTGGTGGTTGGGAACAGTCAGCAAGTTTTTACCTAGGGTAAATCATGTTTGACACACCTGATTGCTTTGTGTGATAAAATGACTGGATTTGTGGATGAGAGGAGAGCAGTGGCAGTAACTTGGCTTAATTATTTTTTTAGCAAGGCTTTCAACACTGTCTCTGACAATATTTTGGTATTCATATTGGGATGCTACAGTTTGGATCGGTGGACATTAAAGGACTAGATGGATGTTTGTGCTCAGAGGGTAGTGGGTCATGCTCTACTTGGGTGACTGGCATATGGGGTATGGCAGGGGTCTGTCCTGGCACCTGGCCTGTTTAACATCTTTATGACATGGAGACAATGGAGAACTTTCATCAGGTTTGCATTTGACAGCAAATTGGGCTTGAATTAACAGGTGCACAGTCAGTAAACGAAGGGAGAGGATTACCTTCCTCTGTTTAGCACTCATGAGTTTGCATGTAGATTGCTGCATCCAATTTTGGGTCCCCTGGAACAAAAAAGGGATATTGGTAAAGCTGGAGGGCCACCAAAAAGGGATGGGGAACTAGAGCACTTGCCCAGTGAGGAAACTGGGCTTATTTGGTCTGGGAAAGAGAAGGCTCCAAGAGAAACTAGTAGGAGTTTGCCACTATCTATCTTCTCCGTGAATTACTAGTCAAACTGTTTGCCGCGTTGAATGTGAGAAGGTGAGCGACCACAGACATAAATGGAAATGGTTCAGACTGGATATGAGCAGACTCCTTTTCCCCATAAGTCATGACAGTCAAGCAGTGGAGCAAGTTGCTCTGTGAGGTTGTGCCATCTCGGTCCTTTTTCCACACCTCAGTGGACAAAGCCCTGAGCAACCTGGTCTGAGCTCAGAGTTGTCCCTGCTTTGAGCAGAAGATTGGAAAGACTCACAGAAGATTTCTCACAGCCTGAGTGAGTGTGATCAGAAAGGAACAGATTCAAGTGCCTTGCCCTTCTAAGGGCTCAGAGGCCAGCCATCCCTGTTCACCTGAAAGGTCTCAGCAAATGATGTAATTGTTTAGAAGCTATGGGTGAGATAAGGACTGCTGCCACATGAACAAGCAGGATTTTGAACTAGACCAGTTTGAACTATTTGAATAATGAATCTTTACTGAAGTGTACTTTTTGAGTAATGTGTAACAGCTTATTCCACTGTATGAATATGGACAGTTGTGCAGTTTCCTCAGCTTACATGAATCCAGGATGTATTCAGGAAATTGGTATTATTTATTCTATTTGCAAATGCTATTCCAGAAGCAGAGGAAGGGTTTGTTTATGGTTGGAGTTGTAGCAGGTGTTTTGCCTTCTGAATTGTTATCACTTCAGCATTAAGACTTCTGGAACACTGATCCATGCTCCTTCCAGATTAGAAGTCTTCTGTTAGTCTTATTTGCTCCCTCCTGCAAGGCTGGATAAAGCAAGAAGAACTGTGACAGTAGAATTAGCATAACAATTATGTAGGAAGGGAGGAGGCACCTGAAGCACATTGTAGGTAGAAAGGGGGTATGGGTTATAACACAGAAGAAAAGTTGGCATTATCTGGTAAGATTTAAGCATGGCCAGCTTAAACAATGGTGTTGGGGAAAAGATCATCAGGTTTCGGGTGGCTGTTTGCTTCATGGCTATTACAGTATCTTAGAGAGCTCAACGTATTTGAAAAGGTTTGGTTATGCAGTATAGAAATCTTTACACCTTTTCTTTAATTTTCTCTGTTCCTGCCATATTTTAATTGTAAAAGTTGGCTTTTTCTATGAGAAATCTGAAGAGAAAATACTTCCTTTACCAGGAATTCTTGAGTTTTGCTTGTGGGATGTTATTTGCTGAGCTGGATAGCAGGCTTCAGGCAGTGTAATAGTGAATGCATTCAGCGCTTCCCAACACCACTGGCTTTGTAGGGTTTTACTTCCTCCTGTGTCCTTACGGATATCACTGTGGGGTACTGCTCATGGGGTTAATAAGGTTGCATATTTGACTAGTTACACTCACCTGGATGACACTCTTAGTTGTATTATTTAGTTTTAGGTAGTCCTGCAAGGAGCAGGGATTTGGACTTGGTGATCCTTACGGGTTCCTTCCAATTTGAGATATTCAATGATTGATCATAATTTTTTGCAACGTGCATCTCCTGACAATTCTTGAAACTGCTTCTTCACCATGCCTGGAGTATAGGGAGGTTGAGAGGATTGTTAAGGTCTGGACAGTGCAGCCTAATAGCTCTGCAGTGTGGCAAGATTGCATCAGGATACGGCAGTAACGCTAAATAAAATGGAGCTGGGACTTGCAGTCTCTCGGGTGATGTCTGGACATGGCTTGACAGACAGAGCGTGTCAGAAACCATTCCTAATATGGCAAAACTATACGGAAGAGTGGGCTTTCCCAGACCTTACATATTACTTCACCATTAGCCTGGGAAGCTTTGCCACTTTAAGCATCTCCATATATACTCCTATAGTACACATACTTTGTTTCATGACATTTGAGCTTAAGCATTCAAAAGATAAATATTAAGTGTGTCAGGGCTGCAGGAGCACTATGTAGGCTGCAGAGCAGATAAGAGACAAAGTCCTGTGTGTTGTGGTTGCAGCGAGGACGTGTCACTTGGCTCTGGGGCCAGAGGGCAGTCCCTGGCCCAGTTTTCTTTAACATTGTAACATGGCCTGCTTGGATGGCAGTGTCAGCTCCTGGAATGTAACCCTGCAGAGCAGGAAGGGGCCCCTCATAGCCTTACTGTAGTCCCAACAATTGGTCAGTTTCTGTGAAAGAAAAGGCATAATTTAAAAATTGTTTTGTGGGCCATGTACAAAGGCTCTGTAGGCCTGGTAGTAGGAATTTCTGTTTTGTGCTGTAGCTCTCAGGCCAAGCATTTTCTTGAGTTTTCCGTCAGGGATGGAGGGGAGAGAGTCTGACAGCTGCTTCAGCCAACAGCTTGTGTATCCTTTATCAGCAGAGTTTCGTTACAGGAGCATCCTGGGAATGAAAGAACTTAAGGTGCCCTTGCTCCCCACCCTCACTTCCCCAGAACAGAGCAAACTGCAAGAGCACAAGTTTTTCTCTCTTCTTCCTCTAGACCCGTTTTTTTCTGGTAAAATAGGCTTCCAGGTGTCCTGGTTTTAGCTGGGATAGAGTTAATTCTCATCATAGTAGATAGTCTGGGGATGTGTTTTGGATTTGTGCTGGAAACAGTGTTGGTAATACAGAGATGTTTTAGTTACTGCTGAGCAATGTTTACACAGAGTCAAGGACTTTTCTGCTCCTCACCCCACTCTACCAGCGAGTAGGCTGGGGGTGCACAAGAGGTTGGTAGGGGGCACAGCTGTGACAGCTGACCACAGCTGACCAAAGGGACATTCCATACTGTAAGATGTCATGCTCAGCATATAAAGCTGGGGGAAGAAGGAAGGGGGAGAAGTTTGTTATGATGGCCATTGTTTTGACATTTTACATTGATGGACCCTGACTTTCCTGGAGATGGCTTAACACTTGCCTGCCAATGGGAAGTGGTGAATGAATTCCTTGTTTTGTTTTGCTCTTGTGTGCAGCTTTTCCTTTACCTATTAAACTGCCTTTATCTCAATCCATGAGTTTTCTCCCTTTTACTCTTCTGATTCCCCCATCCCGTTGG